AATTGAGGAATGTCCCAGAAACAGCTGTGGTCACTTATCAGCATCAGCTTGGGATAGTCACATTACATACAAGTGGGGAAGCTCCAAACACTTACAAATAATATTGATGAAGCTGTGTGTCTGTGTGTATACATATACTTTTTTCCTCAGCCACTCCACAAATTATGTACTCTCCACGACATAGGGTTTTTTTCCATACAAACCCCTCTGAAATTATGGCTTCAGTGGCAATACAAATATTTTTGTTTATCTCTTAAATTTTTGAGCAGTACATTGTCAGACAGTGTCAGCATATTTCCTTGGGAGCAAAACTACACAGTGCGTGGTTCTACACTAAAACAAAAGGATACTAGTCTATAGAATCTCACTGAAGGTGAAGATGGTTGAAAAAGAATTCAGACAAGTCTTCACAAACAAGTGATAAAATATGCTGTGATTCTTCCCATAGTGAAATTCACAGCTCTTTGCTTCGTTCACTTTTCTGAAGTACTGCTGACTTTAATCTGCTATTGGTTAAATTTTTTTCCTACTAAAAAGAGTCCTGAAAATACTCTATTTGATGAAGTGCCTTGTTTTTATGTAGGCAATCTCTGCCAAAGTATAAACTTACAATTTGCTGTAGCTGAGTTGTCTCAGTTACATAAACAAAAAGACCTGTAGAAAGATGTAGGATCTTCTACCAGAGCTTTTCTGTCACAGTTTACAAAATTAAGCCACTTTCAAGCACAGAAACCTTTTAACAGGTAAGATGTCCTCAGAATGAGAAGTCTTGATCAGTTTGACAATGGTTCCATTTTGCTGCAGTCAAGAAGGAGATCACAGTTGAAAAACCTGAGCTGGTCTTGCACTCAGCTTCCAGAAATAGCACAGTCAGGTCTCTCTGGACAGATCTGTCAGGCTGCACTGAGATCTGTATTGCTTTGCTCACTTAAACCGAATTGGGTACTTTCGTGTGTCGTATGTTGAATCCGGTGTATTCCAAAAATAATGAGAATTTATCACCTATGACTGAGGCTTAGTGGACTGATCTCTAGGAATGAAATTGTCATTGAAATGTACTCAGAAATGGAAAGAGAGACCTGTGTCAGAAGAAGGTTATTTGCTGGAAGGGTGGCTGCCTGAGTGAAGGCTGTCAGCCGTATTAGGTCTCTGTGAAAAGCATTTCTGTGCAGACAAAATAAAACTGAAAGTGATGCATAGTCATCAAGAATCAATGGAAGTGGGTGCCAACATCTGCATGACTTGCATACTGAGAAGACTCCCAGATCCATGCATACCCAGATCCATGCATATACACTGGTTTCTATGTAGAAGGTAGATGTTTTTGCAGGGTTTCTCACCTCTTCATAAAGATGAAAATCTGGGATTTTAAAGCTGATTCTTCTTAAGCAGAAGAATTTTCAGATTACATTCAAAAAAAAGCATAAGACCTCTACACTACTACTATGGAACTGCAATTTGGCCATAATCTTCCAAAGAAAAATTACAACCATTGTAAGAATTCCATAGCTGTTTTACACAAACCTGTGATAAGTTACAGTAGAAGACCTGGTCTCCCTTTCTTGCTAAATCCAGCTTAGCAGCATCTCTCAGTGTGTTCCGAGAAGGTACCCTGCATTCTCTTTGTCTCAGAATCTTATTAGCAAAAATGTGCTATTTCCAGTTAAATGTCTTGAAAATGCATATCCAGTAACAATTTCTTTAAGTGGTAATTATCATTTGCACTGAAAATGGTAAAATCTTTTCCGACAAACCAGAAACATGTAAACCAATTTTTTTTCTTCAATAGTGCAGAACTCTGCTTTCAAGGCTTCTGCTGGGAACCTTAAATAATTTGTCACCTTTGTAATTTATTTTTTCCTCAGTCTGAACAAAAGACTCTTTAGCATTTAAATCCTAAAGAAGCTTTGAAGACACAATATTTTTGTGGCCCTGTTAGATTTCTTCTGACGCTCGTTGCTAAAACGTATCTCCATTTAATTGAGAACAAATTGGATATTACTTCAATCATAACTGAGTAGAAATTGAGGTGCGACATCCATACCATGCATAAATTATGAACAAAAACATACTTTTCCACCTTAATATCCTCTAGCTAATAGCTGAAAGAATGAGTGTGAAATCAGCAGTGCTGTATATTAATCTGTATTATGCTACATTGTTTTAATGCTGAAATGTGATTATTCTGCTCTCATTACTGCTTTGTTATCCTGGTAATTTATATGCTTCACAAAGGTTTTCAATTTCAAAAATACAGACTTTGAAAAACTGAGAGAATCAGTTAACAATGTGAACTTGAGGAAAAGGACTGGAATTTCTTTAAATCAAAAGTACAGAAAATAACACACAACCTGCATTTCACACATGGGCATATTTGTCAGAAAGGAAATTCAGCCTTGCATGGAACAGTCACCTAACCAGAAGCTGGCTAGTGACAAATGATGAATGACAGTACTGATCTACAACAAAAGTAGAATCTTGGAGGTCTGGAATTGTGAAGGTTATGGAGCAATGGCCACAACTTACAGTAAGGTGGATTTTGTGAAGGAAGTCAAACCAAAGAACATCAAGCTCTTTAAGTATAAACAGGAAAAACAACAAGCAAAAAGGCAGTAAATGAAGACTTAACCTCAATTTCATGGCAGTGCAGAGCCTGGAGACAATAGCAGGATGGGCACTAGGAGCATGTGCAGAAGTGGAGGCCACTGCAGCCAACTATTTCTGACCCTGAACAGTGAATGAGCCAGTCAGTTCCAGAAACAGCCAGACAAGCATGACTGACTTAAAGTGAAAAGATTCCCACTCATGCAAAGCCATTTATTTAAAGAGGAGAGAAATATTGTGTGTTAATATGGAAACATTAGTATGCAAACTGTTAAACTAGATTTTGATGGAATTAATTATCAAAAGCATGCAGATAAGTGAGGAAAATGGAACAGGCTCATAAGGATTGCTCACGACAGGCTAAACTGGTATCTTTGCTTGGCAAGATCTCTAACCAGACTTCAGTAAATCATTAGAAAGATTCACCCAGAACAGGACTGGACTGGAGTTAAACAGGCAACCAGGCAGAAGAGAAGTTCCAATTTTTCTGCTGGTTCAAGAACCATTGGGATGGAAGAAAGTAAAGAGAGTTCCACAGAAGCAGTCCTGGAACCAACTTCATTTAATATTTTCATTTTATAGTCTGGCACAAAAATACAAGATCAGCTGATAATACAAAGGGACTCATCTCACCTAAATCTTGTCATCTAAAAATCAGGCTTTATGGGAAAACAGTTGCTCCTTTCATAGTTAATGTAGAAACAGGCACCTCGGAGGGAAAGGCTGTCTAGAGATGTCTAAGATAGTTTGTTCTATATTCCCCTACACTGCCTGTAGGGGAAGTCTAGATGATTTTATTAAGCAAACAGCCTAACTTTCAGATAGCTACACTATGCTATTTAGTGGTTGGTGTAACAGATAAAGCTCCCAGGGAAAATACTTAATTCCTGCAATGAGTGATAATTAACTTACTGCAATCCATGTGTACACATGGGAGAGGTTTATCTTGACCAGACTTGGTGTTCAGTGGTACCTAATGAATAGGTTCCCTACATTAACACATTCCAGTCTTCTGCTGCTTACTTTCAAAGGGCAATACTGGTCCAAAGGTTTGTGGGGTGAGGTTCAGAGGCCAAAAAGGCACACGAACTGAAAAGCATCTGCCCCTAGCTTGCCTTTTCAATGCACTTATAGACTGCAATACTGAGTACTGGGTGATGAGATAATAGAATACATCAGCCTTTAGCAGCCTCTGGGCAAGATTCTTATTGCTGAGATACATATCTAGAGAGGGGATTAGGGAATTAGAACATAAATCCCTTTTTCACGTTGTAGTTCTTAGCAATTCTTCATCTCTGAGGTTTGTGTTCTCAGAACTTAATGACAGGGTGCTGCACAAGGAATTACTAATGCAATGTATATGAAGCACACCATGAGCTCCAAAGATAGGCTCTTTTGTACAGCATGCCAAAAACATATTCCTACATAGAATCATCAAAACAAATAAACTGTGCTATTTTGAACTAGAAGATCTTTAATTGCTATTTTGCAAATAATAATCTGTCTTTATGTATGGCTCTGCCCTGCAGCATAGCATTTGGTGATGTCTACTACTGCAATCCACTTCAGCTAAGATTTCAAGTTGCACAGTCTAGAGTAGAAGACACTGAATGTGAAACAGCAAATGTAAAAATTGTGCAGACTATCAGCTTCTTTCCCTTCCCATTGTTTGCTTCCTTTTCCACAACATCACTTGCTAATCTAACACAGAAATCAGGAGTTAGGTCCTCAGCAGTGTTAGAGCTACAATAATGCTTTCTCAATACTCACTTTTGGCACATGTGGATTAAATTCTACTGCTCTGTGAATAGCTTCTACTGCATTCATCTCTGCAGTACTCAGCCCTCGCCTTGAGGCAGCCTCTGGAGAAAATCTACAAAAGCAAAGAAACAAACACATTAGGTCAGAAATGCTAACAAGAAAAAGTCAGAAAAGGAATCTAGAACATGGGCCCATGTAACCGAACTGAGTCATTTTCCTATGCTCTCCAAACTTCCATAGCAAGTGGAAACTCTGAGTTATCTATTACATCAAGGCCAATGAAAATCCCAGCAGAAGTGGAAAGCATGTTTGCATCTAATCATGGCAGAAAGTCAGTTCAAACAGTCCCTTCTCTGTCACTAATCTAAATTTGCTCTAAGTACCTTGCTAAGGGGCATATTCAAGGCTGAAGTTGCAGAAAAAAAGAAAAGAAAAAAACCAACCAAGAACAAAGAAAAAAAACCCAATGCCAAATTATTGTTGGAGGGTTTCTATTAAAAACAGGTTTGGGGAAGTTTTAAGGAGGTTCCCAACCCAATGCCCCTGGGTCAGGTTGGGATGGAAGCACGGTGCAGCAGCAGTAGCAGGTGGTCTACTGGCCACGGCACCATTGAGGGTAGCATGCCCAAACTGTGGGCAAATCATCTGCCCCAGTGAATAAAAAACCAGACCATGCAATCTCTTTCTCACCTCACACCCCACGGCTAACTCCAGAGCTGTACTTGGCAGGCAGACACCACAGGGAAAGCTGTGACAACCTTAGCCCTGCCCTCCCAAGCTGGAGTCGCTGTGTAGGGAGGAAAGATGTTGCAGTAGGTACTGGCGATCTACAGGATAAAAAGAATGAAAGAAAATTACTTAGACCTTGATGTGTACATACACTTTAAAAGCAAAAACTGTCAGGATGTCAGTCAAGAAAATGGCTTTCCACTCTACTTGCTTTCCAACTTTAGGGAGGCATTCGACCCTCAGGTGCACAGACACAACTCTACCTGGGATTTGTGTGAAGGCATCTGAGAGCAGAATTGGGATTTTTGAGCTCCATCTCACAAGGAGCTGAGCACCCTTTCAGAGTGGGCCAGTGCTCTCAAGTCCACAGACGTTGAATAGATGTGCTCAGCACCTTGGAAGGTCGAGACCCAGGAAAAAAAGTAACAGGAATGAACCAATATTTGTGCCTCTAAAAATATGAATATCATCTACCTCTCAGAATCCCTGACATAATAGTGCTAAATCCACCTGCTGCTATTTAAGTAGATGAGAAGTCTTCTGACAGCACTTGTAAAATGACATTGCTCCTTGTGCATCCACATTTATATATTACCTTTTTATGGTTGGATTTATACAAAGATGAAGAGGTTCAGCCACACAACCCTTTTTAGTTGCATCTTCATTATACTATCTAGGAAGCCAAAGCTCACCTGGACAGTATATGTAAAACTGAAACAATGATTGAATTTATGCTACTTCTCTTCTTTTCTTCTTCCATAGTATCTGAAGAGTAATGTTTGATCACTGCAAATTTTTCTTATATATGAAGTAATTTAATGAATTTACTGCAGGACTGAATTTTCCTGCTAACCCAGTAGATTGTAAGGGTGTGGGCTTAGCTAAGAGAAATCTTGAGTTAAATCTGGTATTTTGCTGGACAGTGGTTCTTAAGCACTTACTTGTCAGAGACAGCTCTGGCTTTGAGCAATGCAGCTGTGTAACATATTGTTGCTGATTTTGGTAAGCTTATATCTGTTGAAAAGAAAGAAAAAATAAACATCTGAAAACTTGAAAGTCTGCAGAAAGAAAAGTGATTGATACTTCAGAGTGAGCATGGCATATGCAAAATTATTACGTGAACACAGAATACTTTCTGATTTTGGGATATATACTCCCATATCACATGGATTTTCAAATTTTCACCTGATACACAGGCTTTAAAATGCATATTAATGACCACTGGTACTGCAATTTAAACAGCAACTGGGTTTATTAAAGAACTAATTCAAAGAGCAATATGACAGAGACATAATGAAAGAATTCATTACTCTATACATAAATGTGTAGGTAACTTAGAACAGTTGAATTTTTGCACAGTTCACAAAGCAACTAAGTAATAGCTGAGGACTGTCTTTTTCACTCTTTGTGTTTTCACTCAGAAGCAGTTGTCTAACATGAGTATGTGGCAGCTATGCAAGTTAAGACAGCTATTCAAGTAATAAGGGATTTGACTTGCAAGCAAACAACCAGTAGATTTACTGCAGTTAAATATCAACTGTAAAATAAGGTGTTTTGCCTCTTAAGGAAATGCTGGACCAAAACATTCACCAGACAGTCTCTGGCCATCTTATGCTGACACACAGAAGCCACAGACCTAACCTAAGCCATTACTTAATTTATATCTGTTCTCTACCAGCAAATTGGCACAAAGCATTAAAAAATGTAGAGAGAAATGCTGCTTAACAGACTTGAGTGATAGATTTGTTCCCACTGTTACAGAGATGAATTGACTGCCACATTAGTCATCTACCCAGCAGACACATATTATACTGCGACTGAAATATTCCAGCATTAAAAAGTTAAAGACTACAGCAAAATTAAAAAAAACCCACAACAAACCAAACCCACTAAAAGCTGGATTCTGCAAAAAACTTCTGCACACTGTGATAGCTTCCTACAGTAAACACCAAATACAGTGTAGCAAACACAAGGCACTGAAGTAGGACCACTATAAAAGTGAGGAGCAGTTAATCTGACTATTGTTCTAAGAAACTATCCCTCGTTTTTTCATTACAGTTGATTAGAAAGACAAAATTACCATGGTAACTTCTGGATTAAGAGAAACTTGTGATTTACTGAACTCATGTGCCTTGCAAGACAGCAGTCCAAAAGGGAGTTAAAGAGGACATGCAGGTCATATCTCAGCAGTCACCATCCTTCACGTATTAAAAACCAAGCAACCAAGCACAGTGTTGTTCTGCTAGACAGAAAACATTGCCAGAATGACTGAGGCACTTTGAAAATGCCACCTCTTAAATCTTTTCTATTGCCTTTTCAGGTACTTGCACTTTAAGTATAAGATGTACAGATCTTGTTGGAGGCTTCCCTATAATACATTCCAACTATAATTTCACTGGAGTATGTGATTGTAGCAACTAAAGTAATTAAAATCAACACCAAGCAAAGCAGTTTGGGTGATGGATATGTTAATTACTCCACTAATAGAAGCTAGCTACAGACACAGACATGAGCACATCTTCAGTGACAGGAGGAGAAAATACTTGTAAGCACATTCAGTAGCCCTGCTTAGACCAGGTTCTCTTGTTGTTATTTCCAACAAACAAAAATGCCTTTTTTCCAGAACATATGGGTCTCTGTCTTTCAGTATAAACCTAATTCATCAAATCATAAACGGAGTGAAAGATAGAGGAGTGGAAAAGAAAACAAACCAAACATGAGAAAACCAATGATGCGCTGCCACTTAAAAAGTTTTCAACTGGTCAACAGAATACCTTATTTTCCCCTTACATGTAAGTGCTTCTCTGGGCCATCAAGACGCCATTACCTCACAGGAAACATTTTCCCCTGCATCAGTTCAAACCTAGTAATATTGGTTTGGGTTCTGACCTTTGAAAGGTCAGATGACACAGAACATAGGCACAAATGACACAGAACAAGAGGTCTGCCTAGACCTAGGCAAAAGGCAAACTCTACATACAAAAAATGGACAAAGAGGATAATGTTTGCTCTGACTCCTAATAATGCAGCGAGAGCACCACTACACTTTTGTATCTGTTTGAAGGAGCTGAAAACTAGATGGAATCAAGAGGTCTGGAGTATATAACTGATGTAGCAGAGGAAAAGCAGATATGCTGATGAAAGCTGCTCACACAGTTTCATCAAAGCAAGCAGCAAAAAGCCAGTAAAACCCAGAATGACAGAAAGAAAATGTCTATTCAGCCACTAATACACAATCCATGAGGTTAAGCAATGAGACTACTCACTACACAAAAAACTTCTAATTACATGTATAAAGCCTAGTTTCTGCATCAGGTCACTGATACTTGAATGGAGAATGTTCAGTGGAAGGTGAATGGATCAAATTGTGAGGATTATAGCAATTCTTAGTTAAGAGATTAAGATATTGTGCAGTTAAGAACTGAGCTTGATAACAGGTTAAATATATTAAAACAAAACACTATCTTCTAGTAGGCAGTAAGTGTTTCTGAGTTGGAAACATCTGTGCATATAGATTGCAGGATGATTCACAACTAACTGTTGGCACCTGTCAGGAAGGGAAATGTGAGGTAAGGCTCAAGTACACCATGTGAGTCATTCCTGCAGAAGAAACGGAATTTCTCAAGGAATGCTGCATTCAAATCTGATCACCCATGGTCAAGAACAATAAAAGTAAACAGAAAGAGTGAATTATTTTTGTATCATCCAAATGAAATACAGACTGAGAAAAATTACAACTGTTCCCTAGGCGTACCCACATGGAACACCAGGAAAGGAGATGGGTTACTTAGGTAAAGGATAAAGCTAGCACAAGAATAATGAGTTCAGAGTTAAATTTAGGCTAGAGATTAAAAGTAGGTTTCCATTAAATGAATTTTTGAGGCAGATTTCCATGTAGAATAGTGGACTAAACAAAACAGCTAATTCTATGATGGAGTTTTCTCAGCTCATGGTCTGATGACTATAATACTTTGAAATACTCACATAATTTAGGCTTCACCTCCAAAACTGCACCCTCATATTTTAGAGTAAGGCATAAAACAATTATGTCTGGTAACAGCTTGAATTTAGCAAGGGAATAAAGTCTAAACTAGCCCTAGGAGATATGTATGTACTCTGTCAGGAACCAAAATGAAGTTTTTATAAACGACTGTGTCCAGCTCTGTGAGCCATCTGGCAAAATATCTTCACATACACTGTTTCCCACCCTCCTGTGATTACTTGTGGAACTCCCACAATGTGCTGAAAGCTGTGACTGCTATTTTGTAGTCAAATCCATTAGGACATTTTTGCCTAATAAGAACTGATGTGTCAATCTCAAAAAAAAAGGCTCTCCTTCTTCTTTATTGCTTGTATCTTTAAACAGAATACAAAAATCTAGACTTAATTTATGAACATTTTCTTTTGATTAGCCCCAGTCAGCTATGGGAAGGGTTGGGAATGTGAATTCTTACTGGTCATTTGCTTCTTAAGCAGTTGTTTGTGAGAGTGTACAAATGGAAAGATGCTATGGATATCTAAAATATGCCATATATCATCCAAATATGCCATGAGATCTATTGTTCTTATAAATAGAACTAAATCAAGAAATTACAAATCTGTATATGAATCGGTACGACATACCCTATCCAAGTCATCAGAGACAGACATGTTGCAGTTGCTTCAAACATCTAAGTCACTAATCAGAAATTATTCCCTATTTCAACATCAAAGTGTATGTTATTTACAAGTCAACAACATCACATATTTCTATGGAATTAACTTTAAATAGGTAAATAGTCTTATCAACATTAATAGGACTTATATATCTGCTGAAAGGAGCTGTAGATCTGGGGCCAAATTTCCACAGTAAAATCCTTCCAGTCAAACTGCTAGTTCTTCTTCATATAGTACTGGAGAGAGACTACATTAAGCTGCTGGAATAATTCACTTATTTCCAAATATGTAACTGAAAGTGTATCAACAAACTGGAAGAAGTTATGCAAAGTGGTAAAACAAAGGATGGTAGAATACAGGACATATATTGTGCTATGGCTTGGGTGCAAACCCCACCTCTGATTTTCTCTCCCTCAGCCTGTCTGTAGAATCTAGTGTTTAAGAGCTAAGCCAACACCTTCTCTGTCTGCACAGAACCCTCCCAGTTCTCTGCACCTGCAGGTTAGATTGTCAACTTTTGCACAGTTGGTAGGAAGAATTACTAATGGGAAAGAATGAGAGTACTCTAGCAAATATATATGGGCAGGCTGGATCAGTGATGACAGAAGAGAGATACAATCATCTATAAAGACACTAACATTTATAAAGAAAGTGAATTGAGCTGATACAAATAGCTAAAAACAAGCATAATGGGATGGAATCCAATAAAGAAAAGTATGAACTGAACATCAGGGAAAAAACTGTCAAAAAGATCTAATATCCTGTAGTACTATCTCCCACAAGAATAGTCAATGCATTTTTCCACAAGACATAGTAGAAAGCAAGCTGGAGGGAGCACAGCTATGAACACGGTGCTTGCAAAATAAAGCAGTTCTGATTCTCTGTACATCTGACATTCTTCCTCCGCAGTGGGAAACACCCCAATCAAACATGAACACATAGCCACTATGTATGATAAGGTCTGGATTTTGGTCTCTTGGTAGGATGGGAAAAACATTTCAGCACAAACAAAAAGTGTTTATTTTGCCATGACCACAACACAACTTACAGTGCTCAGCTATGGAAAGACTTGAAGGTCACTGCTGGTTGTAAACATTCCATACCTAACACTTGATGAGCTGCATAGCAGTGACCAAACATGTCTCAGCCCCATTAACTTGACCAAGTGCAATCCTAAATGCCTGTAGAGGGGAAGGATTAATTTCTGATACAGAAGATTAAAAAGAGCAAGATTAGTATAATTACTTTTTGTGCTTTTGCACAAATAGGAGAAACAAAAAACCCACAGAATCATGTGGCAAAATACCGCATGGTATCAACAGACACAGAACTGATACAGAGACCTAATTGACATGACAAGTGATTTTGACATGGAGGAAAGAAACTAGTTCTTAGAAGCAGAATCTGAAAAAGATGTGATATGAATAAAACCAAGCAATTCTCTTGATATTAATGTTATACAAACCGGAGGTCTTACATGAGTTACATCTCTTGGGAAAGGTAGACTAGGCTTTGGTATGGCCTTAGCTAAAAGGAATTTTCTTGTAAGATCTCTCTTTCAAAGAAACAAAAGGATCATAAAATAGCATGCACGAGGTAATGGTTGCTTCCATACTGCCACTTGCTATATCTTTAACTCAGAGGAAAATCCTTTATCGATCCTACCCAGTAAGCTCCACCAGGTAGAACATCTTCTCAAAAATGTCAAACACAAACATGGCAAGTAACGAAACTGATGGAGTAGAGCTGTGATCTCAGTGTGTGTATATATATATATATACACAAAACCCCTAGAGACCATAGCTAACATCACTGCAGGCTGCATGCAAGTCTGCATGCAACTGCAGCTCTGTACAAAAGGAATGCCTTCAAGTTCAATATACATAGAATTTACTCATTTCATAGCTCTGTAAGGACAAAAATAAATGGGACATGAGGACAGAGAAAGAAGAGTAGCCTTGAATAGGCTACATTTTAGACAACTAATTTTTCTATGATAACTGTTTGGATTTCAGTAAATTGGAAGTATTGCAAGAAAAACAAGGCTCTGTTTCTTAAAGTGTTTCTTCAAAGGCCTGCATTTTGATTGAATATTAAAGTACAGTTCTGCTAAGTACGCTGTTACCAAATAAAAAAGTCATAGCATAGAGCAGAACGAGACCTTTTGTATTTAACTCCTACTTTCTTTCTATGTATCCTTCGGTCTAAAACATCCGCTCAACTGAACTCTGCATTTAGAACTCTGTCTACATGGTAACATGGTCTTTTTCCTTCTCTGCAATGGTGTATGTGAAAGAAGAATCTGTATAATGTGTTCGTCCTGCAAACCAGGAGTCTTATAGTCTCACTGGAAAACATTGTTCTTTCAAAAAATGAAAGCAAGGACAGGTTTATAGAGGGACTAAAGACTAAGACTAAATGCACAGGCATTCACTCTTTCTAAACCCAAGTTTCAATTGCCAGAAAGGTCTGAGTTTTCACAGATTGCCCAGACAATATCTATCAAAGCAACTGGCTGCCCAGGGAATTTAATAAATCAGTTGCTCTAAGCATCACAACAAGATGATCAACTTCACTGGAAAACAATCTGTTTAAAAAGCAAGGAAAGAGGAGTAGAGAAACTTTACCTACTACAAATATCAGAAGCTTGTTCTATCAAGAACAGTCTCTTTAGCTGCCATAATTACCTCTGCTGTAAATAACATGGATCGTGCTCAATCAGAGCCAAGAATCTTTTCAGAATTCAACAGTATTTAGGTCATCCTCACTCTATTGACAGACACTGAACTCTGAAACCATAATGATGTAGCTCAGCAACAGTGCATGCTGTCCCACTAATGAGGCTCTTTTTCCATGAATAATGAGTATGGACATCAGCTCTGTTGCCAGGTACATAATATAAACACAATTTAACACATGGCTTTTGGTAAAGCAGTGCATCTGCTTGCAGAGGCTGAGGTTTCACATAATGTGATCCAACTTTTTAGCCCAGGGTGGGGGCAGACTGCTCAAGGAAATAATTTGTTCATATGTTATCAAAATACAATAAATCAGGTTTGGTCTTAGTCAAAAAAGGCAGTGGAATGGGACCAACAGAAACTGCAGATAGGAAAGTATAAATGAGTTCAGTGTTTTATACTCCAATAAATCTTACAACACATAAAGCTGATGAGTTCTAAAATGAGCTGAGACTCCCTGAGACAGGCCTTCCGAGACTCATGGACTGTAAGGGTTATACTGGTTAAGCCTGTGTTTGCTGAGTCCTTGTGCAGAGCTAGTGTATACACACACCGTACTCAAAGCATGAGTTGAAACTGTATGTGTTCAAACAGTCAAAGTAAGAGCTTTATTTTCAAAAGTCTTATTTGTTTTGACTCTATGAGATGCTTTTAAGAAAACAAAACACACCTTCGAGTTTTATCAGCTTCTGTAACATAAACTGCCACCATGGTATTGTTTAAAACCAGGGATCAGTGCTTTAGTATGCCAAAGTAGAGCTGGCACAGGAGTTTAGTCTTGAGATTTTGGAAGACATGGCTTAATTCCCTGTTCTGCCACAGTTCTGCTAGCTCTCAGGACTGTTACTTCATAACTACTACTTCATAACTACATTGAAGACTAGAAGGTGCCAGCATCCTGTAGTGCCTGCGGCATAAAAATGGGCATTTCTATTTACTTGCTTCCTAACATGCCAAATTAAAGACTAAAGGGATATATCCCTGTGTCACAGGAATTACTGAAATACAAGGAGCTACAAGGAAGACTCTGATGTTACTACTTTAACTCCTGATTTCTTCAACTAGACTAAGACAGCCAAGATCTCTCTCAGAGTCACTACTGCTACTGGATGGCAGCACTCAAAGGCCTGGGTGACATTTTGATCTTTGCTTGGAATGATTTGACTCCAGAAAGAGTTTAAAACATTCCAGGCTGGACTTGTAGCAGTGATTATCACTAATGTTGCCTGTAATCAGCTGCTTATTTATCTTTTTGTTAAATAACCTCAGCTCAGCCACAGTCTACTGCAGAGGTCTGAAATCTGGCAGGATGATTATGTTAGTGTCAAGCCAATAGTCTATTATGAGTCTCACTGAAATTTATCTTAATTTCCTAAGCTATAATATGCCAGGAGAAAGCAGTTAGCACATACTCTGTGGAAGCTTCTGCAGTTTTTTTCAGTTATACCCTTTGCTCAAGTCCACGTGTCTCAGTACTCCAATAAACTTATGCATCATCCCCTTGCCACTGTTCTATGTGATGATATAGGTCCAAGTACTAGGACTGACAGCAAGAAGCCTCTGTCTGTGTGAGCTCTTCCTGTTCTGCTTTTTGGCATCTAGGCAATGCAGCAGGGAATGATAAATGAAGAGGAGGCAGAAGTTGCAGAGAAAAAGGTAGATGGAAAAGATGTCAAGAAAGTAGTTGTAAAGTGGGTGAGGAGGTGCATCTTGACCATCACTGCCCTGAAGAGAAGATTGGGATAGGTAGTTAGAAGAGGCAGAAAAATGGAACTGGGAATGAGGATTCTCTGGTAGGAACTGGGAACAACAGAAAGTTGAAATTGACCATGCAAAAGAGAAGTAGAAGACAATTCAGTAGACAAAATGGGTCAGAAGACCAGCTAATCCCTTCAAAGAATCAAAGAGTGTCTAAAGTACTGGGGATACAGACTTCAGTGTCTATATTGATAGACATTTATACAATACCTCAAATGATGCCCATGTGTTTTTTCAAAAACTCTGGATATTATAAGTCTTAAAATCTCTGTTCAAAGAACACTAGAGGTAGTAAGAGCTAGCAATTAAGAACATTTTAAAGGCTACAAGATCAACCTAGAGAAAACATTAAGAAACATCAAAATTAAGGCTACATAGGTTTCACTGAAGTCAGCTATTTGATTCATGCAGGTTATGATCTCATTTTTAGTTATATGGTTACATAATTCCTTTCATAAATTCCCTTGCCATAACCTAGTGCACAGAATGAGACTTTTCTGAGGAGAATTGAGGACTGTGTAGTAACACAACAGGAAACTGATGGCTGTAGGATCCCTGATTCACTTGTTGCACAGCTTGTAATGTGGCTACTGAGTAAGTCAGGGACTGCAGCAAGAGGAGGGAGAGGGGCACTGTGCAGGTTGATGAATGTTGCTCTAGAGAACTGGATTGTATTCCTGTTTTTGCCACAAAATTTGTACACAATACAAGGAAAACCTATTTAACTCGCATGCCAGTCGGCACTTCTCACCCCATGTCTTTGAGACCCTGGTGTCTTGAATTCAAGTTCAAAGGGCTAGAGCTGAAGTCAGTAGGAGCTGTGATTTGAACATAAAAAGTGATGTAATGCTGCATAAACCAATGTTTACTGAAAAATACCAAAAATTAATGCAAAATGTTCAAGCTTTCCAAGTTTTCCCCATAAAATATGAAGTCTGCTACTCACTAGACTGCTATGAAGTTAAATCAATTAATGTTTGTAAAGTACTTGTATGCTACTAAGTCAACATTCACAGGAAAGTCCACAAGGGAATTGATAATCCTTTCTTCAGACAAGGTTTGAATAGCATGCAATAAAAAGTCTGCAGAACCCAAACAGTAATTCTTTAAACATCAACAGAAAGCAAAGAAAACACTGAAGAGCTGCTAGCGAGTTCCATTACCCTGTACAATGAATTAAGCATGGGTGGCAGAAAAAATGCACAATGTTTAATCTTTCTATGGACTGTGTAAGGGAATGTATGAAGCTTGTGCCAATCAACTTAATTACAGCATTTCATAAATTTTAAGAGTTTGACTTAGAAACATTTCTTATGTGTGTACTATGTAGAGAAAAAACAAATATATTTATGAACTTACCATCATACTTTGCTAAGACTGCCTGGACATCTGCATATGCTTGCAGTTCCAACAAAGCCTCTAGTAGGTTTTCATGGATGTTGAACATGCTGAGCAGAGGAAACTCCTTCATCAACTAAAATCAATAACATATGAAAGGGTTAGACTATTAAGATGGAAAAGGGTTTCTTGTTCAAAATGCATTGACATAGCCAATACCAAGTTATAAACCCTCAGTTCTCCTTGCTCTTAGCTCCTTCCCAGAGTTCACTATCATCTCAGAAATTTCTGAGGTCTTAATGGATACTAGGTCAGGTTCTTGACATGACATGCTTGCATTGGATGTAATTAGTCAAGTCCAACAGGACAGCTATCTGAACACATAACTCCTCTTCAATTAGCAGGCTTCTTTGAAGTGAAGAAGAGTTATCTTACTGTTCCGGAAAAGAATTTTCAACAGTGTAGCTCCAGTATATCAGCGATAAGTAATCCAGTACCTCTCTGATATATTAGTAGAAAAAAAACCCAGAAAATAGGTTGAAAAAAAATGAGAATAACATCAAAAGAGAGAAGCTTAGATACATGCAACTATATTATCAAGTATGTGATGCCATGATTTGTAATTGTGGATACTTCAGAACACACTTGCAATTGTGGCCAATATATATTAAAAAAACAGCAAAAGAAAAGTCAGCAGCAATAGGAAAGGTAAAGTTTATACATATCTGACACAACTAAGGAATCCATCTTGTATTACAAAATTAAGAAAATGTGTAGTTAAAATAATCTAATCCTTTCACATGTCTTTACTTTATGAACTAAGTCTTTGAGAGATACCAGTGATTTGTTCTTAGATACCGTCAGTTTCAGTATCTGCATAGATTCAAATGACTGAAGCTGACAATCTATTAGATCTCCTTTTTGAAGTCACACTTATAAGAAGCATCCATGTTTTTTAGTGCAGAATTGATTAAACAATATTTTTTATTGTCAGAGTGATTCTCTAAAGAACTTAAGTGTTAAAAGATCCTTGATTTCTTGTGTCTTCTTTATGACTGTTTAACTGCCTACATGATGTACATTCAGCACATAAAGGTCCCAGACAGTGTAGAAATAGGATAGCTGACATTACCACTGTTCTTCAGGCACTTGCAAGGAAAAACTATCATTTACAACCTCTTTGATATGGTTTATGACAACAGAAATACCATAATAAGTCACGTAAAGAAAATGATCCAAGGTCAGCCTTGCTCTATTTGAAAATAATAAGCTGGACCCAAAAAATCTGTCACTTAATAAACCTACCTTAGAAGTCATAAATAGAGAAACTGATGAGAACCAGCGAATCTTCATCTCAGAAACAGGTAACATAAACAAAAATAAACCAGAATTGAAACAAGAGGGGTGGAGATTCACCAAGAACTTCAGAAAATGAGAAACAGGTTATGCACTAGAGCTTCTTCACTGTTAAGAAAGAGACCTTAATAGGTAAACAGAGATGCAAAATGCAGAGAATTTCTTCCTTGTGAAATGATCTAGCACAAGTTAATGGAAGAACTATTCTGACCTGCCTGGATAGTACTGACTTTGCTGCAATTTGAGCATTATTAAAATCTGAAAGGCAAGGATGGCAGTGTTTTATTTAACTGATAATACAAATTTCTGGTGAGATTCAGGATCACTGAGACAGCAGCTGAAAGGGGTCACTGAACTTTTCATGCTAATGGCATGGGGATGGCCATGAAGTTCCTGGTTTCAATGGTAGGAGCTGAACCTGGACCATACCTTAATGCTCATCTAGATGAAGTGAACGGATTTGAGAATAAAATAAAAAGTTTAAGTCACTGCTCATGAAGAAAAATAACTGCAGGTGTAAATTCACATAGTTGGCTTCATCAGTTAAAGATCCAGCAGAGAGTCTACTTCTCTTCATTCTTGTCCTTACTCACTATTGGATTTTAAAGAGAGGAAGCTACTATTTGGCAGGAAAGAGCATGACAGAATCTGGCTCTACATAAATGTGATTTAAAGTTCAGAATGAACATCTTGCAAAGAAACCCCTCTAAGGGATTAAGAAAGATTACCCCTGCTCATTGAGAATGAATAACGGCTGGCAGAATAACATTCCCTCCATCAGTGAAGAAAAGGGAAGAGCTGCAGCAAGTTATAGATGTACTGTGGCCAGTAAAAGCTCTTACTCTGGTTCTCCATTTCTCACTGACATCACTTACTGATTATTTCTTTTCTATTTTAATTAGGTTCCATCAGAGTGATAAACCCTGTCTCAAACAGCAGCAGAATAAAGGTCACTGTCTGGACTGCCAGGCCTCCAAACTGACAAGTGTTAAGAAAGGTTTCATCTGGGAAAGGTTGAATGTTAAGAAGTCCAACCCAGTAATAATTAACTCAGTTGATATTGTAGCCTCAAAAATAAAACACCTCTAAGTGGCCACTCAGCTATTTGAACACTGACTGTGCATAAATGACAGCATGTTTGACTATAAAAAAAAAAGAAAACAAAAAGAAGACAACATGAACTCATTTCTCTGTCATCTCAGGATGTAGAGTATATAGTTTTCACTGCAGATAAATTTCAAGCACAGTAAAAATTAGTTTTATGAAAGGAAGTAAAGCCACTTGAAGGGAAGAACATTATGACAGGTCATTTTTAGGCCACACAGTGAAAGCAAACACTGGGGAAGAACAAAACTGCCACACAGGCCTGCTGAATGGTCACATACTGCCTCATACTGAGGAGCAGCAGGGAGCAGACTGTGTGCCTGCTCCCCTTCCCTCCCTAGCAGATGGAGAGGGAGCTGGCTCATACTCCTCACCGAGATGCAAAGATGGGCACATTATCCCTGAACTCAAGACGAAAAACACACCCTCGAGTCCCCCTGACCCGTACAGCATTGAGCTCTAATCTGGACTCCAGTTTAAGAGGAACAGACATCTCTTTGTACACAAAGATTTATTTACAGTGAAGTTACAGACCAACATCTGCCAAATTGTTTTGCCTATCAATTTTAACTCTCTTTACATCTTTACTGACAAATGAGTGGCAAGCACTGCGCTTGAAGAAAAGGTGAAGGCTATGTAATCTCTCTCCACACCTTAAGACCTCAAGAGACAGCCATCAAATTCAGCACTCAAGATTTCTCACCAGCATTTTACATGAACACTAGTGAGGACTAAAAGTTCCTTTGTAAAATTCATGTTACTTGGTTTCTTGGCTGGTATCAATGAGAAGTGATCCACTGAGCAAAGCTCATTTTCGTACCATATGAAAACAGACACTACACAGCTATGAGTGTATTCCCTCCTTACAACGTAAGGATATTCATAGAGCTATTGAACATACCATACCAAATCTATGTTCACAAGGATTTTACTTCAAACTTGTGTTGGTCAAAATACTTTCTAGCAATGCAATTGAGACATGGTCCTGGGTTAGTACATATTCTGTTCTAATTGCTCTGCACATTTGGGGGTAAATAGATACAGGTATAGAAAGTGGAATTGCTTTTGTTTGAAAGATGCATTAGGTATACTGCAAATACACACAAATGGTAGCTTTTTCAGATAATTAGTTTTATGTTTTTAGATAAACAATATTTTGTGAGTATAAGTTTGTCGTAAAATTCTGGAAATAAGCCTGACACAATCTGAACAGTAGTCCTGGGAGTATCACATTCCTCGTCTCACCCCCATTCACATTGCAGGGTGTAGGTTCAATGATTTTGTGATGGATATGAAAGTATGATGATCACAAAAAAAGTTTTATAGTAGAAGGAAATCCACATCTGATTTACTGAACAAGGAACAAATTTTACCTCCCAAAGGACAGTTTAATGCAGAAGATTCCCCTTCCTGAGAATATTTCAGTCACCACAATTTTCTCATTTAGATCTAACCTTTCAAACATTTTCATGGAATGTGGCTTTAACTGCTGCATCCGTTATTCTCCCTGTGATGATATTAACATCATGCATCGATTAGCAATGAAACATTATTTGTGTAGAAAACAGCTTTAACCTACACTTACACCCACAACTAGACCCCAGGACTCAAGGGAATACAAAGGTGGATAAATGAATGCTCTCATATATAACCTGGTGTTGACACATTTATTCTCCATCTGAATTATGGCTGTAGCATGGTCACATATTTTATGGGCAATGCATGTAACCATTCATTGCTGCTTATACTCATACCTTCTCAGCAAACAAACAAAAGCATTTTCAGACCAATGGGTTTGACTGAATGCATTCATAAAAAGGAAAATGAATTAAACTTAAAATGAAGAAACAACAGGCAAACCAGGGAAATTCAATTCGCACAGTGAAACTGTTACAACCTTAATTCCTAGTGTGTATGTTCTTGCAGTGGGTATATGAAATGCCAAAATCTGTCTCCTAAGGGAGGAATGACTGAGGCTGCCATCTTTCAGGTGCAACTGTTCCCCACTACTGAAGAATCAAGCACACAGTATGGATAGCATTGTCATTTTCACAATTGCTTTGCATGAACTGCTTTCTGGTATATGATTTGTAATTCGCAAGAACTGTTAACTGAGCTAGGTAGAAAAGGCAAAACTCCAATCCATTGCTGAGCAGACAAACAGAAACCTCCATTTCCGTGGGCTTCATTGCCTACAGCCGAGCTTTAAGATGTCTAAGCCCTGATTGAAGCTCACCCTGGGCTTGAGGCAAATATGACACTCCACAATGACCCTCTGAAGTCTTATAAGCTACACTAATTCTGAAGTTCTTCTCCTGGCCAGCTCACCCGGTAAGGACAGAAAGGAACAAACACTGTCATCAGACTAAAGGTAGCACACAAAAAGACTCTGTTAATAATGTCAGGTGCTTAAAAATTAGGCAAACTCCTGATCCTAAAAGTGCAACTCATTCCAGCATGGTCTAATTATGAGTGGGATTCATGTGATGTAAACAGTCTCACAGCTCTCGGAGTTGGAAAACAACATGTAATACACTGGACCTGCCCGAATTTAAGTTCTGCTTAATTACAGCCAAGTAGGATTCTGTCAGTTAGTGAATTTCTCCAAGTGCTGCATCCCTTTTGACAAATAATCACTCTTTTGCTTGGAAGCAGATCCACAGTTACTCTTTCAGA